ATCAAAATGAAACGAACAAAGCATTCTAGCTTCTGAGAAGAGTAACAAACTCATGAGAAACACTCTGGCTTTAGGTGCATTTCTTAGCTCGACAGTGTGAAGACACAGTTAGCACAATAAATATTACCACGCAGTAAATGAGACACAATACCATCAGATACACTGTGGATATTTGCAATTTGAACACAGGTGTTGTTTATATCTATCAAACAGACATCTAGGTTATGAATATCTATATTCAATTTCTTTATCACAATAATCTAATTGATATTTTTTTGCTTTTGTTAGAAATTCTCTGACATGTCCATCTATAGTTCAGTGTTATACCACAGCCAGTTTTGATCTGAGAAATAGTAACACTGTTTCCATCTGTTATATGTGGATTTATGGATCCAGGTTCACACTCACTCCAGATGTATTGTCTGGGACTGTAGCCCTCGTCTGTTTGTGAAATTACTTAGAAAACAACAGTGACCTTCCTGCTCAGCACCAAACAGCAGACACAAGTAGCGACTAGCTGGTGAATAATTGGACCAGTTAGTAGCAAAAGAGTCACCAAAAAAAAAAAAAAAGACATATGGAAATTTCTAAAATTCTTTTAGGAATAAAAACCAAATAAAGGCACTTTGAAAACTGGCTGAAAAATTGTGATAATAATTCTTACCTTCATAATCACCCATTAAGAGACCTAGCCTCCTTGTAGCAGATTCGTGGAAGCACAAGATTAATGGAATTTATGGCAACGTAATGGTGATGATGTATGTATGTATGGAATGACATATGTAAGACCATATGTGTTTTAAAAAGTAAGGTCATTTTTAAATTTATTATATTTTAATAATATTCAGTTATATTATTATGGTAGCTGGGTGAATGAATGGATTCCAACGGTAAAAAAAAAAAGGAGGGGGAAAGAAAAAATAGAGGGGTACCCAAAGGAAGGTGGAGAAAAGGGGGTAGCAGGTTAAGAGGGCAGGCCTGTTATGGTCTGTTTTAAGATGGGAGGGGTGATGCGATTCCTCTATTTGGAAATGGAGGTGGATGTTGTACTTGGAAAATAAAAGAGGAGGTTCTGGTAGAGGCTGGATGTTTGGGGTGGTTGAATCATACGTGCAGTGAAAAGGCTGCACAATGGTATTATTATTTTTGTAACCAACAGTGACTTGGACATTGCTTTGCATGAGATGCGTTACTGATAAAATCCCCCAGTACGAACTTAAAATGACACATTACATCTACATCCAGGAAAAAAGAAGAGAAAAACACGATGATGTAAAATCAGGAAGCACCGAGAGGAAAACTGCACTCAAAATAAAGATGAAATAAATGAAACAAGTAATTTAAAAAAGGTCGAGGGAAGAGGATTTTCTTTCCATTTTAAGTCTTCTGTATTTCATCTGCTTGAGCTGACGCCCTTCATCACAGAATGAAACCTTTCTTCCCTGTCTGCTGCTTGTTCAGGTGAAAGTTCTCACTATTCCTGGCACCCAGGATTAAAGGCTTTCCACTGGAGAGCAGCCATTATCGTGGACCAGACACTGACCTCTGGCTGTTACTGCTGAGGAGTTTCACAAGTGAACACTCAACTCTTTGATTTAGTTTATATGAATGTTTAGATGTGCAATATGACTCTCAGTTTTACTATCAAATCAAAGGTGGAAAATTAATTAGACCATGAGTTGCCTCCATATTTTTTGTGTCTGTGGTTTTGAATTGATACTTATGGAAGGATTTGAACTGTAACCTGTTGTTCATATTTGTTAACTGCGTGCATGAATACAGGGGAGAGCTTAACTAGCAGTTCATAAATAAATGACTACTACTCTTTTTTCTCAGGACTCGCGTAACTAACAGTAGGTCAGTCACCCTGAGGACAAAATCCAATGGAATAACACCACCAGATGAAAAGGTCTTCACAAACCTTCTTTCTATGATCTTGAACCGTCCATGAAGTTACACAGATGAATCCTTTCCGTCAGCTTAAGTATCAAAAGTGATTTCTGAGTGGACTTTACAGAAAAAGGGGGATTCCCAACAAAGAGGAAAGCGCAATTGCATAACCCCGGTTCAACACCTTTTTTCTAACATGCAACAGAGAAGGTGAGAAGTTTTAGTATAACAGCAGTTGGTGGTGCATGTTAACACTATGAGAATCATTCACATTAAGTTCCTTTAAAAAATAAAACTTTTACCAAAACTGCAAAAAAGTACATAGTTAAAAAAAGAAAATAGCCTTTAATAGGTGGGATAATACAATCCTTTCCCAGCAGTAAAATACTGGAAACGAGGGAGGAGCTGGCTGAATTTTGGGGCCAGTAAAAGCTAAACCATGCACACATCTACACTGACATGAATTATGGGAACTATGGGAGTTTGGCAGGAGATTGCTCAATAAATATGAAATTAAATATCGGTGACAGAGCTGGACCTGCTCTCTGCAGGGGAAATCTGTTTTAATTTGCTTCTGCCAGACCAGTCAGGCTCTCACAGTGTGACTGCCAACACTTACTGTGGCTGATTGAGACGAACCTTTCACCTCCTGCTAATTATACCCTTCCTCGCCAGTATTTTACTCCTCTACACTCCATCTCTTCCACACATGCAAGGACATCGCCATCAAATTGAGAAGTTTGGTAGATCTCCTATTATTCTGATGTGATTTACATGCTAAAATTGAATTATTATTGAAGGAAAATCCCAAAATTAAAGAATGGTTTATACAGCAGACACACCTTTTGGGCACAGATCAGTCTAAATGCATGTGATTTTATCATTTATTACCTAAAGTGGTAAATAGTTCCCTCAACAGGAAGGTTAACCAAATCTCAGGAAGCTAAATGTGAGTCAGAGACTATGTATGTGTATAGGATAATATGGAACACACTGTTAATGCTGTGAGACAGCCTTAAAGGGACATGTGATGACATATGATGTGATGCGTGTCGTTTTATGTCATGTTCCTGTAAAAATGAAACGAGTCTTTGAAAAGCCTTCCACCACCTTTACCCCAGTAGTTTCTCAGTATTTCTTGTAATTGCATCTAATTTACTTTATGCTGTCGTACAAGTTCTACTGAAATCTGAACATCTTGGAACTTTGAGGTGAATTATTTGTGTATAGCTAAGGCAGCAAAAGACGGTGATGGGTTATTTGACCTGAATTTGACCCATGATGACAGCCTTCCATGCTTTCTTCATAGCCAGAGGAGAAAAGCCAGGCATCAGAAACACCTCAATAATATAGTGTTGTCTTTTAAAAACTAGAGCCAACCAAAATGTGGAACAATATATCAATATGTGGCACAAGGGCCGAGGGAAAGAAATGCTGCCCTAGAAGGTGGTTGAAACCACACCAATTTAAAAGGAGGGTTGATATTACTTGCAACGCAAAGTAATATCTAGCAGCCTGTCAGAAAAAACCGAGATACAGAAAAACAGGAAGTGATAAATCCAAATTTGAGCATTTTTGGTTCAAGTCACTGCAAGTATGTACAAAGGAGGTCAGGTGAAAGGTACAACAGTGTTTATGGCCATCTGTAAAACACGGTGGAGGCTCTGTAATGGTTTACAGCCACATTTCAGTCAGTTGTGGATCTTGTTAAAACTGATGAAATTATGAATGCAGAAAAATACATGAAGATTTTCATGCACCAAGCAATGCCATCTGGAAAGCATCTGATTGACTTCACTTTCAAAGAAATGTGGGGTGTGTTATTTCTGTGTTACCTTACAGCCAGTCCAGGTTGAATCTTGCGACTGCGTTAAGCAGTTTGTTTGTTTTTTCCAAATAACTGATAATACTTGTTTCATGTACAGGGCACAAGTGGTACAAAAAATGGATATATAAGTATACATATCAGTTTGGGTAAGAGGTTTGTTAGCAAACATTAATAAACTGTACTGATCCACTGCACAGACACACAATGTTTAAGCATAAACCTTTGGATGTTTTTGAAAAGCATAGCAGACACAACTTGGTTAGCTAACTGTGTGTGTGTGTTTTAACTCACCCACTAGAGGTATGAAGGGTGAAACTATCCAAAAAAGAACAATTAGTAATGTTGTAAAAAAATAGCATTTTAACGTGACTCTGGTGGGCGGCCACTACAGGAACTGAAGTTTGAGTTTGCGTAGTGTATACTTTGAAAAATTAAATCATAATAAAGAGTAAAATAAGGCTCTTTGTCACCATATCTCCACAAGCCTTGTATGTAAATTAAATATTTACACACCAAGTATTTCTTTTTGAGACTGTTTGACACCGTAACATTATTTATTACACCATATTTGCTGCCACCACCATATTTGACAGTGGGCATGGTGTGTTCAGAGTGATGTGCAGTGTTAAGTTTTCCGCCACACATAGCGTTTTGCATTTTGGCCAAAAAGTTCCATTTTAGTCTCATCTGACCAGAGCACCTTCTTCCACATGTTTGCTGTGTCCCCCACATGGCTTGTGGCAAACTGCAAACGGGACATTTGCAGGGAATCACCATGTCACCATGGGCCTCTTGGCTGCATTTCTGATCAGCACTCTCCTTGTTCAGCCTGTGAGTTTAGGTGGATGGCCTTGTCTCGGTAGGTTTACAGTTGAGCCATACTTCTTCCATTTCTGAAAGATCACTTGAACAGTGCTCCGTGGGATGTTCAAGGCTTGGGAAACCTTTTTGTAGCCTAAGCCTGCTTTAAATTTCTCATTAACTTTATCCCTGACCTGTCTGGTGTCTAAATCCAATCGAGAATCTGTGGCAAGAAGGAATTCCAACAAAAATTGATTCATGTTTGTGGCTGTAATGTGAAAAAATGTGGAAAAGTTCAAGGGGGCCGAATACTTTTGCAAGCCACTGTATTCTCTATGGAGCATAAGTGAGCCTAGAGACAGCTCCCTCCTCAGTCACAGACTACAAAGCAGACTGCAGACTTGGCCTTTAATGACCACTACAACAGGAATGCCCCACTCTTATTTTATGACATATTTTACAAGAATATCACAACAAAGGCTTTTTCTTTGTGCAGACTAATTTATTCAGCACAGCAAGAAAGCAGAACAGCAGAACATAAACACTGTCTTGTTATTTGGAAGAATTGAGAAACACATAATTAAAAAAACCCAAACAGATTAACTGAAGTAACAATCTTTCCTTTCTCTGTAAAGTTTACAGAAAGACTACCTGCTCCATCTAGTGTTGAAAGAACAAATTTTAAAAAAAATGGCTGGAGTGAAGTCTCAAATTTTACTCACTGAATTTCTCCCTTGCAGTTTAATTTTATTTATTTTTATTATTAATAACTAGAAAAGCAACATCTATTTTTATTATTTTGATAAATATTAACATATGCAGAAAATACATTAGATTCCATTCCATATGAACAAGGTGTAACAATATATCAATGAAAATATATTTACAAAGTTCTACTTCAATACCTGCAGAGCCTTACACAGTGCTAATTCTAAATAGTACCGTGTTATCATAAAACCAGTCCCAGCATAGTTGTTCTTCCAGTAAGTGCTTACTCAGCAATAGTCTGAGCTGAGTCACCCACCAGCTGGATGCTCAGAGGGGACAGCGCTGTAATCATACTTCTACTACACCTATGAGCATGTAGTACAATTGATACTTAAGGTGTGTTAAAAATTAACTGTTAAAAGTTAATTTTACTGTCAATGCTAAATATTTATTTTTGGTGATGAGCTTTTTGTACAAGTTTTTTAATTGAATGCTGAGTTCATTTTGTAGTGTGCAGATAACACATTCTTTAACAAAATTCTCTTCAAACCATTTCATCTTAATTACAATACTGTAACAGTGTAACAACATAAAAATGCTGCTCAATAGCATCGGAGCACGGCCTTCATCGGAGCAATTCTCATTCTTCTTGTCGTAAAAGATATTCCGCCTGAAAAAACAATTTAAAAAAATTCAACTGCCGTATCAGCTCACTGATGTTCAACAAAGGTAATTCTGTTGGAAAGGGTTTTTTTTAAATACCAAAAAGTCAACAGGGTCCTCCGGTTTAATCTCGCTGCACTTTACCATGGCCTCAGTGAGCGAGGGCATCACATACTTCATCAGGTAGTTTCGCAGGGGAAGAGCTTGAACTTCCAGCTGCTCACTCTCTTGTCTCTTCACCTCTGATAAATTTTTCTGCTAATGATTAAATCATTTAACCTGCAGTTAGTATTTAAGAGTCATTTGCTCCTCTGCATCTTCTGGTATGAAACACTCACAGTGTTACTTACCCAGTCCTCATACTGAGCAGCCATCTCAGCCAGTACAGCCTCATTCCTGAGTTTCCTCTCAGCAGCCTCTGCGGACCGTTTCTGCCTCCTCTCTTCCTCTTTTTTCTGGTCCTGCTCCTCTGGACTCAAGCCATAATTCTTAGGAGGGCCCACCACCCGTGTGATCATCTTCATGATGTCTGTGTATTCTGGATCATCTGTCCTGACCTCTGGAGAAGAAGAAATCACACAAACAGAGCCACTGTAAACAGGAAAGACCTTTTTTTCGTGGGTAACTGACTGCTAATAATGGTTGCAGTTTACTTTCTACCTTTCTGTACATGTATAGGGTTACACATTGAATCTACATAATATTATACATCTGGCCCCTGACGCTGAAAAGAGCAAAAGACTAATAGAAACAGACAATATGGAGACAGTCGGACACTCTCACATCCACCAAACATGTTCTGAAATGTTTGACAGCTTCACTGTTCTGTTCATGGTTTATCATTTATGGGCTCTTCAGTACTCTTTGCCTCTTGTTTGTGATCAGTTTATCAGAGTGCAGTGTTGTGGTGGCTTTGCAGACAGTACCGATATGTAATGGGTGAATCTCAATCTGATCAAAGTAGTCACACACTGTTTCCTCAGCTCCACTGAGCTGTCTGTGTTTTGTCAGGCGAGGTACAAATTCATCCTGGGTGTAGCGCATTTTTTCTGCCACGTTTTCTGGAAGTCCTTGTACTCTTCTTGTCAGGAAGTCATCTGATGCATCAAGGGCAAAAACATACTCTGCAACACATGTTGGAAACAGAAGTAAGTCCATTCTGATAAGTCAGCAAAGGCTTAGACAAAGACATAACAAAGACATAAACAACCTGGAGCGATGGCCTGTTTGTAGGCTGGTGCTTTGGACATCAATGCCAAATCCTCTTTCCCAGCATCCTCATCCACATTCACATCTGAGCAACAGAAACAAGCGCTATACTTTATGAGACAAAGACTTTAAAAGATTATACAGTGACTCAAATAATTGATGAAACCTACCAGAGAAAATCATCTTCGCTTGCTCATAAGTCTTAGGGAAACCATCAAGAACAAAGCCTTGGTTCTTACATGGCTTTGAGTTTAGTTTTTCTTCCACAATTTCAAAAAGGAGACGGTCAACCAGTCGACCTGATGGAACAAAACACTAGTTTGAATAAACCACAGAAATCTGAACACAGACACACAGAATCTGAGAGTTTGGGTAAATTGAAGCCTTTCGAAACAGAGACCCCGACAAATTGTGATTTACAATGCTGTCCATCCTTCCACAAAAGCGTGTTGTTTTAGAGACTTTTCAAGTAAGTTTCAAGTAAAAGAAAAAAAAACCTAGACTGAAAAAGACTTCAAAGAAAGATTTTTAAATAAATCAAATGTGTTTTGCAGTTTTCAGCCTCACAAGATTATATTATTTAGGGTTATAATTCTGTTACCAACCTTGATTTTCTTTCATGCTTTTGTGAATATTCCCCAGTTGTGTCTGTGCAGCAGTCATTATCTCTTGACTGATATTTTCAGGGTTAGGTCCATTTACTATCTCCTTCTGCAGCATACAAAAGAAACATAAGAGATTTTCTTTATTTTTAAATGTCACTGGTACCACATAACAAGTCTCAAAGTACACCTGCATTAGTACATCGACTGCCTTCACAGAAAGACTTCCACAGGAGGGCAGCACATTTTCCTGTAGCTGCAGGACAGCAGTGAGAGGAAAATCAACTGTCTGGTATGTATGTGCAGTTCTGCTTCCACTGACCAGTTGTGCAATCTTCTCTTCGAGGACCTCTTTGAGCTTGATTTGATGCAACCGGTAATGATGGCAGAGCTTTCCTGCAAGGGTGGTTTTCCCCACAGCTGGAGGTCCAAGCAGCAAGATTCGAATGGGCTAAACAAGAAACAATTTTTTAAAAAGTCGATGATTCAGAAAAGTTTTTGTTTTTCAGAAATGATCAGCTGTCATGAAAGAACAAGCGAGAGATACAGAAACAAACACTGGATGCATTGTAGCTCAATTTTCAGTTTTCCTGCCACCAAGTGGGACACCTACATTTTGTAGGATACATACATTTTTACCTACATTTTCATACTCATTTTCTGTCTATGATTTACACACACAGTCGTATTTAACACTTGTGATTACGGCAGTGGAATGAAGAGCTAACGTTGTTGTCACACATTCCAGATAACAGTTGGGACAACTTTCGGTCTTCAATAGGTTTTTCAAAATCTCTTCAAATTGAACACATGGACTGGCATGAATCCCAAGATGAATCGATGAGCTCTTCATAATTAGTTGCTTAATTGATTATTCAGAGCAATGCAGTGTCCTCATCTGCAGCTGCAGTGCCTACCATCTGATAAATTTTTTGCAGAATGACCAGATGGTATTTTTTTAAAATTCTCCACAAATCAGAACGTATGAATTACAATATAATACTATAGTAATATAATGATGTGTAATATACAAATATACTGGGAAAAAAGTGAGAAAAGTATTTTCTTTTCTATTTCAGGTTTTCTCAAAATTTATGATGACTTAAGCAAATGATGTAGCACATCCTAAAAGATGCACTAATTTGCATAAATGGATTGATGAAATTTAATTTGACAGACTTGGAACACTCACAAGCAGCTGCCAGGCGTCTTTGTATTCCTGCACAATGTTATCCATGTTTTCAACCATCCCAGCTTCGGACGTCCAGCTTAGGTTGAAAAAGTCATTTATGATAAAGGTCTCCAGGCGGAGGTTGATGCCGAGGCACTCCAGTTCCTCTGGCTGAAATAAAAAGGTGTTAAATTACCAACAGTGTGTTTGATAATAAATATTTTTCAGCAAACATCTAAATAGCACAGATGTTTACTACAAGCCAAACAAACAGCAGATAGTTTATTTGATCCATATTTACAGAAACTGGAGTTGTAACAGCAAACAGCTCGGAAAGAAAATACATTTTAAATCTCTCAACAACAGAAATTGAACGCAAACTTTTGAGTCTTTTCCTTGTGTCACAAGCTGTTATTGCAACACTTTCAGGGACTAAAGAAAACATTTACATTTGCAAGTGACAGTAATAGCAGTACTAAGCTTGGGTGAGTAGTCTGCTTAAAATACTTATATGTAGAGCTCTAGATCTTTGCATTATAGGCAGAAAAAAAATCGAAATCATCTTAAAATGAAATAAAATAAATCACATAGTTTACAGTACCTTAAACGCCTTCATGACAATCGCTTCCTGTGGTGGTAATTTCTGAATTTCTTCTGGTCCAAGCGCATGACTTATCATCTAAAGACATAAAGGTAAGAAAGAGATTGTTTTGTGTGTTTTTTCTCCTTCTTTGCCAAACGTGACTTCTGACAAAGGATCTCAGTTGGATTTTCATCACCTCAAAAGAGTATTCTTCCTATAAATACACTCACTGGACACTTTATGGGGCGCTCCTTACTAGTTATTAGATACCGTTTTACCTTCAAAGCTGCCTTAATTCTTCATGGCATAGATTCATCAAGGTGCTGGAAAAATTCCTCAGAAATTTTGACATGACATCATCACACAGTAGCTGGATCTCAAAATCCACCACCACATCTCAAAGGTGCTCTATTGGATTCTGATCGGGTGAATGGCAAGGCCATTTGAGTACACTGAAATGATGTCATCTGCCTGTCATCTTCAAGAAAAGTGTGAGATGATTTGAGCTTTGTGGCATGGTGTGTTATTTGCTGTTGCTATATATATTTTGGTGAGCCCATGTGAGTAGTTTTCCCTATAATGATGCTCGGTTTGAACTGCAGCAAGTCGGTTTGACCATGTCTACATGGCTATGTGCACTCAGTCGCTGCCATGTGAATGCTAACATTCACATTAACAAGCAACTGAATTACTATAACTAATAAGGTGGCCAGTGAGTGTAGTTTTCAATCTACTGTTTTTCTTCATAATGAAAAGTCTAGCTGTTCTAGTTGAAATTAGAATCACAAAATCACCTGTACAATATCCTCTAAAGTGTTCCTGGAATTATCAATGGCAACAATGTACTTTGGTCTTGGTCTGAGTTGAATGATGTTCTGGATCACTCTGCAAGACAAATATATATTTAGTCCAGGTCTGTGCCATTTATCTCCAAGTATATATAGCATATGTGCAGAAGTACAGTTAAATAAACTCACCCTCCAAGGTCAGATACATGAATCGTGGGAATGTAATTTGTGCCATGTCCAAATATGGGAACTTTTGGAAACTCCATCAGCCAAGAAACCTTTTAGAAATATCAAATACATATTATTCAAGCAGTATAGACAAAGACATGCAGTGTAAAAATGTGTTAATGTGTTAATATTACCTTGAAAAAGTAATGAAAGAGGTCCTCCCCCTTTCCATACTGAAGGCCACTAGCTACAACATAACCGGCAAGTTTGGACTTTTTCTGTAAGATTGAAAAATCAGAGCACTTTTAGTTAGTTTTAGATATATTTATTTTCCTGGGATCCTTATGAAATCTTGGGATGAATTGCTCCTGTTGTTGTGAAACATATTTTGGAGGATTCTGTGATTTTCAGCATCATAATCTTACCCCTTTAGCCAGGTTTAGCACAAGTTTTTCCAAACTGTGGTGTTTTCTGAATGCAGGGTGAGGCCTTCTTCTTATGAACTGTTCCTCTGATACCAGAACATCAGTTTCATCCTGAAGAGTAAGATTACACTCTCAGTCATGGAAATCTGACAAGTTCACACACTGTTTAGCTTTTCTCCAGACTCACTGGGTTTTGAGGTTTAGTCATGGCCCACGTCATTACAGTGGAGACTAAGATGAACAATTTCTGAGACGTGAAGCTCAGCATCTCATTATGAAGGGCTGTTTGTAAAAGAAGAACGGGCAGGGATGACAAACAACATTAGCATGTTATTGGAACAATGCAGTCTCTTTTAAATGTTGTCTCATGAAGATAGATAGTGATACATTTAAAATGAGCACATGAGGTACAATCTTGCAAACAGTGCCCTTTAAAGGTACCCGGCCTTTAAAAATCTTTGTCTATGATTTAAAAAATCGAATCCTTCACTGGTCTTGTAGAAGTCTTACAGTCATACCTGTAAGAACCCACGTTGCTTCTTCAACCTGTTGCTGTGTGGCACTTTCTGAGATGTTGTACACCACCACATCACACTCCAGCAGGTGCTGGAGGAGCTCATCACTGCTTGGTGACTGCAAAAGGAAATTGTATACCCTATTAAACGTTCAATTGTTCTTGCTGTGTCCATAAATATATTTAAATTAAAGTTGCTTAGTCTAAAAATAATTGGTTTTAAAAATACGGCATTTAAAATTATTTGTCCTTATCAGAATCTTAACGTATGATGTTCTATAAACACACTGCCCGGAGCAAAAAAATGTCACATACTCATATTATTCATAGGACCACCGTTAGCTTTGATGACGACACGCATTTGCAGGAGTATCGATTGGATAACTTTATGCAATGCCATGACATTTTTTTATACAGAGTTGCACTTATTTTTCACTAAATCTCAGTGGGGTTAAGGTCTGGACTCTGTGGTGGCCAATCCATGTGTGAAATTAATGTCTCCCAGAGCCACTCCTTTATGCCTTAAGCCCAATGAACCCTGGCGTGTATCTTGCATGTATACCTGTTTCATCAGGGAAGAAAAGCACCCATTGATGGAAAAACCTCCTCATTCAGTATATTCACATACTCAGCTGACCCAAATGTTTTGGCATATAATGTTGCTAATGGTGTTGGGTGCCATCTCCAACAACGATGAGGCGGCCTACATGGATGAAGTGAAGAATCTGGCATCGTGGTGCCAGGACAACCACCTCCAGCTGAACGTCAGCAAGACCAAGGAGCTGGTGGTGGACTTCAGAAGGGGTCAGCACAGAGACTACAAGCCCATTATCATCAATGGAGCTCCAGTGGAGAGGGTGCAGTCCTTCAAGTATCTTGGTGTCCACATCTCCTCAGACCTGACATGGGCTGCCCACATTCAGGTCCAGACCAAAAAGGCTAGGCAGCGCCTGTATCACCTATGACAACTGAGGAAGTTCAGGGTCTCTCCAAAGATCCTCGGGATTTTCTATACAGGCGCTGTGGAGAGCATCCTCACACAGAACATGACATCGTGGTTCGGGAACAGCTGTGTGAAGGACCAAAAAGCTCTCCAGAGAGTGATCCGTACAGCAGAACGCTGCTGCAGGATTGCTCTCCCCCCGCTTCAGGACACCTACACCAGGAGATGCCAGACTAGAGCAGCGCAGATACTGAAGGACCCGTCCCATCCTGGCAACAAACTGTTCCAACTTCTGCAATCTGGTAGAAGGTTACGCATCTTCCGGGCAAGGACAGAGAGACTCAAGAGGAGCTTCTATCCCCAAGCCATCCGTGCCCTAAACACACACACCCGCCCTCTCACATCATCTATAATTGACTGAGACAGGACTCTTCCAGACACTAAACCAAGGCACAATGTACATTTCAATTCCTTTAATTTAAAATATGTTTATATTGTCTATCCTGTAAAATAGTCAGATGTCTATTCATATTAATGTACAGAATTCACCTGCTTGCTGCTACTACTGCACATTCACCCAGTGTATATACTATATGTATGTATATATATATATATATATATATAATGTTCTTCCTCTACCCCCCCCCCCCCCCCCCCAATTTTTGCACACGTCGAGGAGCGTGTCAGGCTACATTTCACTGTGTGTTATACTTGTATAACTATGCATGTGACAAATAATAAAGAACCTAGTACCTAGAACCTAGTACCTAACCTAACCAACTGGAGCAACCCCAGATCATGACAATGTCCCACAGTCTTTCGCATTTAGCACCTCGCTCACCTCATATTTCTCCCGTAGAAAATCCCACTTTTCACCTTTAGAGGAAGGAGACACCGTACCGACGACATGGAAAGCAGGTTCACCTTCATGGGAGGCTAATGCCTCTGCTTCTTCCTCATCCTCAGAGGTCACCACGCATGAGGCTAAAAACTGTTCAGACAAGTCAATAATATTAAAATGGACTAATGTGACTGGTTAGGCAGGAACAATAAAAACTCTCTTTTCCCTATATTTACCTTTGCGATGTGCTTGGAGGAATATCTGTCAACATCGTTGATAAAAATTCGCTTAGTTTGTTGCTTGTTGTCCCCCATTTTAAAAACTAACGCCTTGAGTGATTTAAAAAGCTATATTTATTACCAGACTGTAAGTTTTACAACAGGAAATGAGAAATACGAGAAAGACAGAGAAACTTTCATCTTGCACCTAGTCTTCTTAAATGTTGCTAGGGACTCGCTACTGTTGCTATGGCTGAGCCAATGAAGCTCGCTAGCTAGCTCTCGAGCGCTTCCATGGCAAGGGGTATGGAGGGCCAGGAGTGACAAAATTAATTAATTAAATACGCCATTAAATAATTAATTAAACGTGTCAATGGTTAATTAATTAATTAAATAAAATTTGAAATAATTTATTAAGTGTTTTAAATGAAATGAATAGGCATTTAATTAATTATTGACACGATGAATTAACTATTTAATGGTGTTTCTAATTAAATCATTTTGTCACTCATGGCTCTCCAAAGTGAGTAGCCCCCATTTTAAAACAACTTTTAAACATTATTAACATGTTTCATTTCCCCCTCATTTAACCCCTTCCTCTCTTCTGCCCTCTTTCCCCATTTAACATTATCTGCTTCTACTATGCCCTCTCATTGCCTCCTTGCTTTCGTTTGCTGCTTTCTTTCCACCCACTATTAGATCTCTGCCTTCCTCTTTCCTCTTCTTTCCCTCTCTTCCTTTCCAGCCCAATTCTTCACCTTTTAGATAGAAGCATGAAGAAAAAGGGTGAGGCTGTACCTCTCTGGACTGCTAACAGGGTTGGGCTGTGAGTTTTTTTCCCATTAAAGTGACAGTTAGCTACATGCAGAACAATTAGCTGGAATATTTCAAAGAGAGAATAAGATCCATCAGCGTGAACTATCGCATGTCCGGCATGAACTGCCCGAAACCGGAAGTGACGTCATTTTGCGGAAATGTAGTTTTTTACCATCGTGGCCATATGAGCCTATATTTGTGTTTTTAAAAGTTATGTTTGACTTTATGACTTTCTGTGTCGTTTCTGGGATGCTGAGGACTCATATTGCACTGCTGGAAATATTTTATTTTGATGCATATGCTGTTATTTTGCAAATTTGCACTATAATATATTTTTTCGTTTTTCCTGCAGTATATGAAAATTGGTGTATCTCAAAAATAAAACTATGAAGACACTTAAAATAAATTTCCTTTGGTGGGAAACTAGTTTGTGCAACTTTTTTGTATTTACAGTTTTGAGGGATAAGCCTCTTAAATTTCTCTAACTAGAAATATATGTTAAAAAAACAAAAACGATTTTCAATTTTTTTGTAGTTTATTGCACTTTTTTGCAATTTATGTAATTACTATGCACTTAATGCAGACATATTATTAAAATTTGGGCTATAATGGTTGTATTGATGTATAGCAACTTGAAATGCTCCAAAAAATGGCTCCACAGCATGTAAAAATATACTATAAGCTCTGGCGGACTTGGTTCTATGGTAGGTCTTAAAGGGTTAAAGAGACAGCGCTGTGCAAATGCATATTTGGTAAGTTTGACCTTTTATTGTTGTTTTATGAGCCTAAAGTGAACAATAAAGCGATCAATTGATGTGCTGGGTGCGTTTAACATTTCCTTTGTCCAGTCTTTGCTAGATTTCTTTGTCTTTCTTAATAACAAGATTTTTATGTCCTGTTACTCTGGAGATGGAGTCGTAGGTCTTCGGCTTCTTTTGTCCTCTTGTTGTACAGTTTGTACATCCCGAGGAACCCATGTTTTCTTTTTTTGAAAGGATACAATGCTAAGACATATCAAATGTTCTGCTAATAGCTCTTTCAAAATCAAAGTGATGTGGCAGTTTGCTGATTTCCGCCTGGTGACTAGGGATGGGTATCGAAAACCGGTTCTCAACAAGAACCGGTTCCCACTGTTTCAATTCCTTGGAATTGTTTGCCATTTTTGCAAACGATTCCCTTATCGATTCCAGTCGCCCCGAATGACGTCACCACGTTGCGGAGCGTCATTTACTCGGCAGGAAACACGGTGCCAGCGGCTCAAATGCTCAAAAGTTTGGTCATACTTTATGAGAACGGATGACAACAGGGCAACTTGCAATACTTGCAAAGTAGATATTTCATTTAAGGGAGGAAACACTACGAATATGCAAAAGCATTTGCTCACAAAACACACGATAACCTTAAATGAATGTCGTGTTTTTAATTCCGCTCCGGACTCATGAATCTCAACCCAGCAGCAGCGGTAACGTTTGCACGTCCTCTCCTGTTAATGTGGCAGGTAAATAATCAACAACAGTGCATATTATGTTAGCTGCCTTATTACAAAACCTGCCATTACTGTGCATTTAGGTGACCGTGATGAGACAGACAGAGTCTGGCTGGCTCAGATGCTGGCAGTTCTCGCTGCAGTCTACCGGTAGCGTCTCCTTTCAGGCCAGGATAGACGAATGTCACCGAGCAGGGACTAAGTTTGTGGTCAAAGGCTTGCACCCATTTGCCACAGCAGATGCCCCCGATTTCACTTTGGTAAGTGAATGTGTTTAATTGTAGGCAGGGACATTTCTGGATATTCTTGTGTAATTGCTACAGAATAATTTATGTTACACTTTGTTATTGCTACAGAAGAATATTTATTTTATTATTTTACATTTACATTTTTTTTCCTGGGGACCCTGTGACACCCCATTGAAGAGCCGTAGGCTGTGGATCTCTTAAGATCTCACTGTTGGGTTTGTAAGGCCATGTTACTCTTAAATTTCTATCTTGTTCAAAGAGAAGATATAAAACAAAGTTCTAAGCTAATCGACTTTAGTGTTCTCCTTTTTTAAAAATAAGAATCCATAAGAGAATCGATAAAGAATCGAATCGTTAAACAGAATCGAAAATGGAATCGGAATCGTTAAAATCTTATCAATACCCATCCCTACTGGTGACTTTCATGTTTATCAGCCCAGTAGTTTACAGACTTTCTCCCAGCTGAAGACAATTAACAAGAGGTTATTCATGTGCTCTAATTCCCCTTTTCCCTTTTTGTTATTTGTATTTTTTTTTGTGTTTATTTTTGTCCTAGATGGCCTGACGCAGCAGGTAGGGGTGAACTCTATGTCTGAGTTTGTCTTTGCTCAAGCTGTCCAGAAATGGCTCAGATGCGCTCCATATCGCATGGGTGGTGCAGGGCGCCCAACATCCATCCCCATCCCGGAGTAAATAACAAAAAGTGATGTGAAACAAAGAAATGTAAAAAGGAAACTTTGTCGTTTAATAAAGTATTTTGCAAATGATACATGTCTATTGGCCTTTTTTTGTTGTTTGTTTTGTTGTTTGTTTTGTTGTTGTTTCTGATGCTTTATATTTTCGGGATATTACTATTGACATGATACATTGTAACATAATTTTTAACATATAAAGGGTGTCCAATTTGTACAATTATCTGGTGGTTTAAGTATTGATGGAAACTTGCAGTAGTTTAGTATTGATTAAAATAGCTATAGATTGTATATATTTGTAACTAGGTTTCCAGTCATGATTTTACTGTTGTTTCAATAGAAACCAACTGTGCGAAAGAGGTGGAAAATCAACGTCATAGTTCAACAGTGTTTAAATATCAGAATCTAACATTGTTTCAATATTAACAGTGTGTCATAATTATATGTTAAATCAATGTCAGCGTTCAACATTGGTTTCATATCAAAACCTGACGTTTCAGTATTAATAAGGGTGCAAGAGTGACGTTAGGTCAACATCAGATTTCAACGTTGATTCAATAGAATCACCTGATATTGACTAAACATTGTTTCAGTGTCTCCTTGCTCTCTGGGAACACACATTTAAAAAACTGTTTTTACATAATCTCAGACCTACTCAGGTTTAGAAGATATAAAAAACTATTTGAAAGCAATCTAACCTAAATTCAGCAGATTTTTTATAGCTTAACCTTATGGTCCTCAAATGCTGAAGAAATGAACTTTTACTCAAATTGCTAATGTGTAGCACTACATTTTTAGAAAATGTAGAGCAGTCTTTTTTTTTTCTGAAAGGTATATTGTAAATGGTCAAATGATAAACAAACCCCTGTGTACCTAACAGGCTGTGCAGAAGCAGTTGTTGCTAACAGCTGCTTAAGTGTGTGCATGTGGACGTGGGGGGCTGCAAAGGAGGCAGCTGTCAAGACAGACATACTGTGTGCTTCCTACATTCCCTTATAAGGACGAATGTCCCTCAAAACCATGACCCATTTAAGACCATTCTCTTTTTTCCTGATTAAGACCTGGCGATAAAGATAGGACTGCCAAAAAGTGCTTCTTTGACTTGAAGGGAGCTGTTGACAAAACACAGAAGCAGTTTCACCCAAAGGCTGGTGTGATCTTTCTGCTTCATATGTTTTTGCTCAGAACAACAAGCCAGATTATGGTGAGCACACACTAACGCCATATTGAAACAGGTATATTTGAGCATTTCTGTTGTAACACTTTTACACTTTACTGCAGTAATTCTAGTTATTTTTTTATTCTTCACAAATAAAACACACAGTCTATAAAGTCTCAAATAAATAGCTCCAAAATAAATGCAGAGCCATATATAAAACTGCTTTATTTAACTCAGTTGCAGTTAAATATGATTTTTAACTACCACATATATCTATTTAATATGTAGAAAGTCCATCTTTGCCAACAACATGAGTGCACGTAAAAGCAGGAATTCATGTTTTCTTGTCCAACTATATGATCTGAATGCTTTTTTCAATTCTAAGTCCTTTTGCAGATCATCAGAGGGCAAATGACTCCTGAAGCACTGCGGTCATGCACTATGATTGCTGCTGCTATAAAAATGTAAATATAGAAAATAGAAGAACACAGTGTTCAGATATGACCTGACATAATCTATGCACAGTCTATCCAACATCAACACAGGGCGGTCGTGCCTGATTTTCTTGTTGGAGTCCCCATAGACACTGAGATCACCAGTGATATATCAAGCTCTTTACAAGACCCCAGATCCTTTTCAAATCTGTCTTGATTACAAAAATGATTCTGCTCATGGTAGGTGAGAAAAGATTCCTTCCAACGTTACGCAGCAAATTTGATAAACTGGACAATTTAAGAAAGTTGCGATATCCAGTGAAAAAACAAATTTTTGGACGTTGAATTGTATAAACAGACCGTGAGAGTCAAAAAAATGTGAGTAGA